ATGTACAGTTTTTAGACAATAATGTAGTGGAAATTCAAGACGTGAATATCTCGCATTGAGTAATAATTTAGTAATTCGGGCGCAGTCAATCAAGTCCCTTCTAATACTAACAATCTAATTTGGGTGCAAAGCATGGCAAGTATGTGGTTTTATCACAGAATGTCTCAAAATTAATAGTTGCAAAATCATTTACTATATTTCTTATCATGTTTTTTATATGAGATTTTATATTTTTAAACACGCTCAATAAACCTCAATTTCACCACACAATAAACCTCAATTTCACGTCAATTCTACATTCTTCAACAACAAGACGCAAGTAGAAGCAAACAATTCAATGTTATAAGGTTTGGACATACGGCAGAAAATAGACAGAGAAAAGTTTGATTTGGTTAAGTACCTATCTCGAACCTGTATTCTACCTCTAACATTACCCCGTTGATCCGACAGTGGAAACTCACTGGAAGCAGGGAAATCGTAAGGCCATTTTTGCACTTCTGTCATCATCTGGAGTCCAAAAGTAAAACACATTGTTCATAAAAAAATGGGAAATTAGTGGTTTAATATAAATCTTGTAGATGGGTTTTTTGTTTTAAAAATTAAACCTGGTGTTTTGCATCCTCCCAGAGTGGTGATGGATCATCATTTGCATTGGACGTAAGAGAATTAAGATAGATGAAAACAGGGCCAAAGACTTTCTTCCATGGCTCATCTGGTTTCAGCTTCAGCACCAGGTCCTCTCCCGAATAGTGAGCACTAAGAAACATCTGATTTTTTTATTTTATTTTTCCACAGGTTAGTACAGTTCAAGATAGTTTATTTGAAAAAGAAAAAAATAAAGTGTAACATAGATGATCCTAAGATAGTTTGTTCTAACCTTAGGATTGAATAAATAAAAAGCAAATCAAGAGCAAAATCGAGGGAACGAGTGCATAACAAGAAAATGAGAGGGGTGAAAATCACTACATATTATAATACCAAATTTCATGAACTTGAACTTAACAAAAAAATAAAGCAGAATTACGGGTATCAGCTCGTATCGCAACATTTTAATACCAACTGATGAGTCATATAATATGACAGTTGCTTAAGAATTGTAAATACATGAAATTAAATTGCTAAAAAATATGTATAAATAAATAAATTATTGCCACATCATTTTGAACTTCTGAAAAGTTATGAGTTGATGCCCTAGGATTATTGGTTTTGAATAAATGATTATGGTAAAAAGGAAGTTAATTTTACTCACAGCAAGACAAGTGGGGCCAACATGGGAGGTGAGATTCTGTTTGAGGGGTCCACCAGATCGGAACTCATCACTGGGAGTTATTTGCCAGAACCCCACGGGCGGGTCCATACAAATCCAACCGTGGACCCGCAGGTTTTGGTTCTCGCTTGAGTATTCGTATTTGTCATCCACCTACAATTGTATTTAGGAGCCACAAAATTTTGTTATTCTAATTGTAATTCTAAGCTTTTATGAATTTGTGAAAAGTTATCATTTTTTGGCCAAAAGAATAAATGTTTTAATTTCCAAATATACACAAAATTATCAAAATTTTAAGTTGCATGCATCATGTCAATTATTTCAAAAAAAAAAAAACATAAAAAATAATATCA